CCCCAAACGCACCCTTTATGGTTGATTTGAGAACCTCATCTATATTAGTGTTCTACTTCCAAGGTGTTTTAGAGGAGAACAATTATTGCCTTTTGTCAATTAACCCTAATATCTCAAGAAATATAAGGAAGCACTTGCAAAAGAAATTAATTGTTACTTGCAAGATCTTTATCGGATTCTAAGAAAGGTTAGTCATACAACATCATGGTTTACATAGGCAGTGAGATCCATATATCATTCAATTCATTTCATCTAGTTCATAAAAAAAATATTAAATTTTTATTAGTACAAGACTTATAACCATTTGGTCTTTAATCACATTAATTAAGGCTTCTTAGGTCAATTAAATATTAAATTTTCATTTGTACGCGCGACTGAAAGTGTAGGAATGATGTAAGGGAATGAATTGTGCATACTTGCTCAGGCGATCCACGACCACCATGATCATAGTGAACCCTTCTTACCGTGACAACCTCTTGATAAAATCCATCATTTCTTCCCAAACCTTCCCCGACAATGCTAATGGTTGTAATAAACCTCCTGGTGCTATGGTCAAGTTGTTGTGTCGCTGACCTTCATCGCATTTTGCCACCATATTCTTGACTTCTCTGTGCATCTCCATCCAATAAAGCTTAGCCGCTAGACGATTGCAGGTCTGTTGTACCTCTGAGTGTCCCCCGATTGCACTGTCATGAAACTCTTTGCAATAACCTGGTAATATACTTCGACACCTCGGGTAGCTCGAATCTCCCCTGGTGGAGCAGCTGTTGTCGCTTAATGTATATCCTGGTTGACTGTTCGAATCCTATAGTAACTCGATCTTTATCTTCTTCAGCTCATCCCATTTGCTCTTCTACCTTAAAGCTTTTTAATCTAGGATCAAGGGTACCGATAGGACCGTCAATTAGGGTTCCTCCATCTTTCTTGACAATGCATCACCTGCCTTGTTCTCTAATTCTGGTTGGTACCGAATCTTGAAATCATAGCCTAGTAGCTTGGATAGCCATCTTTGATGCTCCTAATTTATCATCCGCTACTTCAGAAAATACTTTAAACTCCTCTGGTCTGTCCTGACCAGAAAATGTCATCCCAACAAGTGGGGCCGACACTTCTGAATGACCAAGACAACCACCATCAATTTCGGCCCATATACTGACTTCAGCCTCGCTCTGGGTTTAAGAAATTGGCTGAAGTAGGCAATCGATCGCTGATATTGCATGAGCACTGCTCCCAATCCGTTTCTTGACGCATCTGTTTCCACCACAAATGATTCACTGAAATTTGGGAGTGCTAATACCGCGTCACAAGTCATGGCCTTCTTCAGATGTTTAACTGCTTGTGTTGTTGCCTACTTTCATTTGAAATTGTCTTTTTTCAACTACTCCGTCAGGGACTATGCTATCGTGTCATATCCTCTCGTGGACTTTTGATAGTAGCCAGTGAGACCTAGAAATCCGCTCAATTCCTTCAAAATCCTTTGTAAAGGCCAGTCAACCATAGCCTTGATCTTGGACCAATCCATTGCTGCCCCTGTTTTGGTCACCACATGTCTGAGGTACTTCACCTACAACTATGCTAAAGAACATTTCTTCAAGTTGTCATACAACTGATGTTTCCTCAACTTTTCTAGGATTATCTTTAGGTGCTCCTCATGTTGTCTCTGTACGATTGTAGACCAGAATGTCATCAAAGAAAATCAGGATAAATTTTCATATGTAAGGTTGAAAAACCCTATTCATGAGAGATTGGAATGCCATCGGGGCGTTTGTGAGTCCAAACGACATCACTAAGAACTCATAATGTTCTTCATGTGTCCTGAATGTTGTCTAGTACACATATGTTGGATTCTTTCTTATCCAGTGGTATTTTGATTTGTGATTAATTATTGAGAAAATGACTGCCCCATAAAGTTCATCCAGTAACTCATCAATCACTGGAATAAAAAACTAGTCCTACACTGTTTCTTTATTCAAAGTCTAGTAGTCCACGCAGAATCTTCAACTGCCATTTTTTTTCTTCACCAGCAGGACTGGACTGAAAGAAGTCCTCACTCTAGACTAATGATCCCAGTCTCGAGCATCTCTCGGATGAGCTTCTCTATCTCATTATTTTGAATTTCGGGTTCCTGTATGGTCCAACAGTGATAGGGGAAACACCCTCTTTTAATGTATTTGCCTGCTCGTGCTCTCTCAGGGGAGTTAAACCGCTTGATTGTTGGAAGACATATGCAAACTGCTGTAGGAGCTACTTCCCCCTTCAAGAAACTCTGTCAACTTTGAATCTCGAATCCCTTCATGCTCTGCAACTCCACCAAGTAGCCCAGTCACGCTCCTCAAATTGACTTAACCATGATTTTGAGCGACACCATTGTTTTGCATAGACTAGCATTCCTTTTAGCATCACCTTTGTGCCCTTTACTTGGAATTCCGTTGTGAGGGACTTCCAGTCAACCTTCATCTCCCCAAGCGTTCACAACCACTTCATCCATAAAATCACATCTTTACTACCCAAATCTAAGAGTAGGAAGTCCTCTAACACTTGTAAGCCATGTAGTGTCAGCACCAACCTATTGCAAATTCCCTTAATTTTCTCCACCTTCCTTGTCCCCATCACGACTTCAAAGCTCCCTGTAGTCACCAACTCCAACCCTAGCTTCTCTACGATCTGATTTGAGAAAAAAGTTATGTGTGACCCCACTATCTACCAATACCAGAATTAGTTCTTCCCTGATCCAAATCCTCACCTTCATGGTGTGATTCAAGTTAAATCCCACCACCGAATTAAGGGACATCTCCGCCATATCCAAATACAAATGCTCCTCCGCTACATTTTCCTCTGATTTATCACTCTCTGTATCCTCCTCCTAAACTAATAGAATCTGAAGGGCGTGCTCCTTGCAACAGTGTCCTGGGGTATATTTCTCATCACAGTGGTAATACAATCATTTTGCTCTTTTATCCTGCACTTCTGCATCTGTGAGGCGCTTGAAATTACCCCTGAGACGCATTCCTGTATTCTTCTCCGTCGACGTCTCTCTCTAAAATGAGACCATCTTGGTTCTCGGTGTCTTGTCTGTCAAGGGGATCTTGTAGAATCCTCCGGTGTTGCCACCTTTGTTGGTGTTTTTCACCTACTTCTTATCCTTCATCATCTGGACGAGTTCCATCTTTTCCCTCAATCGACATTGTCTCAAGGGTTGGATGGTTAACGAATGTCGGGCTTTTGACCTTTCAAGATGTTTCCTTCCAGTTCTGCTGCAGAAATACCCCTCAACTTCCCTAACAAGTGCTCAAACTTCTCCGGATATTCCGTAACCATCCCTTCCTGAGCCGGAGCATAGAATTGTTCATGTAGGTCGCCTTCCTGAATGGCTCAGAAATGCTCCAACAATCAATCCTTTAACGTCTCCTATGAGTGCATCATATACCTTGCCTTCATCCGTTGAAACCACGTTAAAGTCTTTCCCTCCAAGCATAATTCCGCTGCCATGAGCTTCTCTTCCTTCGTTAACCGATTAATTGCAAAGTACTGCTCCTCCCGATACGCCCACCCATGTGCATCATCTCCTTTGGCATTTTCAATTTTCTGACCCCTGCATCTCCACCCTAACTTCCGATATTTCTCCCCATCTCCCTCCATTGGAAGTCTCCACTCCCCCTCTCGGAGTCCTAGGGAGACACTCTTGTTGGTAGATTATGTCTTCCTCGTTGTCTTCTCTCTCGTTCTCATTCCCTTTTGATTTTGGCCAAGTATTTTCTGATCAACCCTTGGTTAGGTTTTTGCAACTGGAGTGATTGACACTGCCTTGGATTGCATCTCCATGAGTTTTTTCTTCATCTCTCGCATTTCTCTTATGCTTTCAAATTTATCCTCCATTCAATTTTCATTGTTAGAAGACCTTTCCTCCATGGTGGCGAATCTCTTTTCTATTCCTGATCTAATTCGCCCTACCTCTCCTTCTAGCACATTTACTTTTTTAGTTGTCATCTCACCAAGATCTATGCTATGAGACCAATGGGCTCAAAATCAGCAAGTAACAACAGCGAAACAGCGATAGATGGATGAAAAAAAATCAAATAAGTGCTGCTCTTACGAAAAAAAATGCAATCGAGTAAGATACAATGATGATCTACTTTTTGAGAGGTAAATCGGCTCCCCCACAACCTTAGACGCCGCTAGGAACACCACCAAAAGAAGAAAACGCAAAAGCCAACAAAAACATGCATAGAGAAAGCAATCCCTAGGTTATTCTCCTTAATAAAACACTCTCACAGCATTTTAAAAACTCTCCTTCCCAACTTTCCCTCCAAACTCCTTTAATTTCTCTATCTTGAATATGTGATTATGGCCCTAGTGGACTCAACCCTCTCCCGATTTGCTTTTGCGGCCCATCTTGCCCGCTTTGCTTCTTCACGCGGCAAAAACCGGCTCGCTTGTGGGCCTGTTGTGTTGTTTATAGCTGGTCCACCCGAACCGGCTCAATTCTAACAGAAACCTAAAAAGAAGATACTTGACCAAATGTGCTTTGAGCAGTGTCGAGCTAAAACCCAGAAGTGTTGTTTAGTTGTATCTTTTAATTATTGGTACGAATTCTATTCATTTAATTAATATACGTAATTATTTTTTTTAATATTACAACCGGCTCTAGCATTAATACTCCTAAGATCTTCAAAGTACACCTCTGTTTCATGAAAAATATGAATCGCGATGTCCATGAATACACTCTTTAAATTTCTTTACAATTTACAAATTGAAATATAATTTTTTAACCATGAGCCTAAGGTTTTTTTCAAGGATGAGCTATAGCTTTTCATGGAGATAAAAGTCTTATTGTTCTTAAATCCTTCTCTCAATTCCAACCAAAATTTTCTCATTCTCTATCAGAATTCATCCTGATGCACGCACATCCTTCATCATTTTGAAATCTGAAGCAACTTATCATTGTTAATTTCTTTATTAATATATTTATTTGTTGGATTTCCATTATTTTTTTATTACAGAACACTCAGAACTGTACAAAGACCACAGCAGAAAAATGAATGAAACGGGAACACAATCAACAGAAGCTAATGATATGGAAATTGTAGGGAGAAGACAAGCTGCAACAGATGAGTTAATGCTTGAGCGCTTCCGCAAACGGGAAAGAAATCGTGCCATGCGCAGATAGCATCGGTGATGATTTATATTTGGTTTACGGTAACGATTTCACTTAGTTTTTGCACTATTAATTTTCTTATTATTTATTTTTCTTGTTGTTTTTGGGTTGAATTGGATAGGTCACTATTTTATTAAGTTTTATTTAAGAGAGTTAAAGGAGTTTATGGCATAAATGAGTTCTCTTTTATTTCGAGTTCATCTTTTGGCGTAGTTTTGTAGCTTGATCCTTATATTATGAGGATGAGATAAAAAATGTATGGAGCATTTACATACATAGCACACATTTCTTATTTATTTACATATCTTACCCATAAACTTTCATATTTATGCACATAGCATTCAGATCTTAAATATCACATAAAAATAGCACTATTACCACTTTTCATGCATATGTTTAAAGCAGCATAGGGTTGTTTATGTAAAGATTAAAGTTTAGGTGTGAGATATGTAAATACATAAGAATTATATTCTACGTATGTAAATTTCCCAAAACTTATTTGAGGGATGACCAATAACTTGATCAAAGACGGTGGTCCAATTTTAGAAAGTAGGGAGATAGGCATTAGCTTTTGGTTTTCTTTTCTTCTGTATAACTTATCCATCTCACTAACATTCATTTTTTTTTCCTTCCAATGAGCTTTTAAAAGTGCAATGTTCTTCTCTCCACTTAGCTTCCATCAACGAAGATTCTTGCATCAGCTACAGGAGAATAATAAGCCCCACCATGAACCCTAAAGAATCTATTCTCTATCTTATAATCGTCATCTTGCTTATCAACTGTATGATGAAATGCTCCAATGGAAACCTTCAACTCCATCTTCAAAGTTTCTTCGCCCAATCATTTTATTGTATCATTCTTATTACTCTCTGCTGCTCTCCTCCCCTTACTGTATTCTTTTCTTCTGAAACTCGTCATCTTCTTTTCTCCTCTTTTGTTATCCTCAGCAGTATGTTACCTGTTTCTTCCGTCGAAAGAAAAACAGTATAGGGAGATATTATTTATGGAAGGAGAGAAGGGAAGGGGAGGAGTTGCTCAAGTTTGTGAAGAAGCTAACTTGAGCTTGTATGATGGTCATATTGGAGCAGGTTTTCTGTTCTTGAGAGGTGGGGGGAAACTGAAGTGTGCCTCAGAAGAGGAGGAGGAAGAAGAAGAACAAGAAGATAATGTGGTATTTGGAGGGAAGATTGATGTGGGGATAAGTATATGTGACTTTGTTGAGAGTGTTGATTCTTATGTGGTGGATTGGTTGGCTGAAGAAGTGTGGAACTCTTACTTTGGAAGATTTTCTAAATGGAATCATTTTGAGAGTGTTTTGGAGGAAGAAGGTGATGGATGGGAAGAGTAAGTTTTTTTTTATTTGATATTATGTATATTTATCTATTGCTTTGTAAAGGCTGCATGGGCTAGAAAAAAATATATTTGAGAATATTTTCATATAAGATCTGTATCTGCATGAATTGGAATATAATCAAGTATTTAAATCAAACTCCCGTTTTCATAAAATCAAACATGAAATTCTGAAAAATAATTTCTCAATGACTAGCATAATGAGTATCTTAACTCATGTTCTGTTCTCAAAAACATAGTGCAGGCTAGCCTGCTTCTCTCTCTTTTGGTTACCCTATCTCTCTTTTCTGTTATTTTTATTTTTATTTTTCTATATTTGTATTCTCAAAAAAATAAAAAAGGCTCTAAAAATATTATATTATGAGCTTTGTGCTTCTATTCTCTGATATAGTTCTCTCAGCTATCGCTTTAAATGTCGTGCTTAACGTGCTTAGATTCCCTTGTTTGTTCCTAGAACAACCTCAATTTATCTCATTCCAAACTTCTCTATTTTCTTCGGGGATGAACAATCTTCTCTTGGTAGAGAGGTAGCAAAATTTCACCATTCATGATCGGGTCAAGCTTTCTTGGGGCATACCTTCCAAATATTGAGCCACTATTTTTCTAACCGTCATGGACCTTAGTCAGCTTACCTAGCCTCCATCAAACCTTAAATAACTAAACAATATAAACCAATCTACAAACTAAAATCTATAAATACATATTAATATAAAAATATAAAATATGATTCTCTTCATCCTCAAAGTATTCCTATTGCTTTGCACTAAAAATTAAGGATGCTATATTCAAATTTGGCCTATGATCATAAAAGAGCTGATGTCATATTAGAGCATCAACATAAATCTATCTTAAAATTTTATGCTATCAAGAACCTAACATGTGCCCTCTGATGGTGGATACCTTGATGGCAATATACAGAAGGCCTAATCTCACAAGGACGTAGTACATGCCATTAATTTATGATTATGAATAAAGTTTAATATTCATCTTAATGACATGTATTCAAGCTTTTATTTATATAACTATGACGTAGTAGATTATAAGTGGGATATAGAAGAGTTTAATCTAATTGTTATAGCATAGATGAATGCAATCTAGCAACTATAAAACCCAAGAAGAATTCTATAATTAAAACATTAGAGTTCAATCTAATAACTATATTACTATAGAGCAATCCAATTTCTATAACAATTAGAGTTCAGTCTAACAGCTATGACAAAATATTTCTGAATAAAAATGATTAGTTTAAGATATTTATAACAGAGTGTCACACGAAACTAAATTAAAATAAACATGGAAGTTTTTAGAGTAATTCAATTTTTTTAATAGACTTGTGGATTTATATTATTGTGAAATAATGATGCATATAGATGGTCTCCTTAAAATTATGTATGAACAGGTTTAATTTCTAGAACAGTTTTCTTTGCAATTATGTAGATTATGTATTGTATCATATACACTCCATAGTATTCACGAAAAATGCAATTAAGTACATTCTTAAGCCTATATGAAAATACTTTACATAAAATTAGCTAAATTTCAAATGGCTTACTTTACAGTTGATTTGAGAACTTCATCTATATTGGCCTTCTACTTCCAAGACTTTTTAGAGGAGAAAAAATATTGCCTTTTGTCTGAGCCTAACCCTCACTTAATGGGATAATGGCTTGTTGCTGCTGCTGCTGTTGTTGTTTTTGTCAATTAGCTCTGACATCTCAAGAAATATAAAGAAGCACTTGCAAAAAAAATTAATTGTTGCTTGCAAGGTCTTCATTGGAGTGCAAGGAGGGTCAAAGTCATACAACATCATGGTTTATGTAGGCAGAGAGATCACATATGTCATTCAATGTGTTTGGTTTTAGTCCATTAAAAAAAAAGAGAGAAATTTTTATCAGTCCAAGGCTTGGAAACTTTTACTCTCTAATGCATTCATTACGGCTTCTGTGGGCACTTAAAATAGCTATTCTTCTTTAGTTTATTGTGTATAGAGATTATTGTTCTATAGCACCAATTAAATAATTTATCCAACACAATGTTGCTTGATTCATAGACATTTGGATAGCGTCTGATTCACCCCCTTATTTGGTAACATAAAGAGCTTACATGCTATTAAAAAACTAAAATTTAATTTAGTGTATTTAGCTATTCAAAAATTCATATCATCAATAAAGTAATAGATATCTCATCTTACTATTTAACCATGTAGCGGGTGTATTTTGCTGTTAGAACCATGTTGTGCTTCCGTTGCACCCTTCTATTTTATTTTCTTTAGGGTTGTCTATCAATCCTACTATTCAGTCCTTGAAAGAGGATAGGTGCTCCGTATCAATCAATCGTAGCGAATCAATGATATATGGATTCTTTGGCATGTATGTCTTTTCCAATAGATTCTTTAAACCTTTAGTTAAATGGTTGTTATTCTTTTGTCTTCTATAATCTAATAATTTTACCAAACTCTTATATACAATAATAAGGGATGAACTAACTTCTCCTAATTTCTAGACTTTATCCGTACATACAATTTCAAGCAATTTGTAAATATCCCCCATCTCCTCCTCTGCCTCATCTAAACCCTTCTCTTTCTTCACCTTATCTGTAACCTCAATAGAGTGAATGGTTAGTCAACAAGTACCTCATCAATATTCATCTTCCCTTTAATCGAAACAAAATAAATCTCAACATAAACAATTTAAAGCCCAAATCAAAATAGTTGGAGTGTTATTAAGTTTTTCAGTATCCCAAAATTTCTATTTTTTTTTCTTTGGCATCTGAAAGTAATTGTTCCAATTTGATTTTTACCAATTAAAATTTTAAATATATCAATCTTCAAAACAAAATTTTGAAATTTATAGAGATACGAGCCATTAATTTAATTGAGAGTATTCTTAGGAGATCATCACTTGTAGTTTATAATTAATTATTGGGGCTTGAAAATCAACACCTTACAATAAAATAGACCCTAACTTATTAAAATTAGGTTGGAAAAAAAAACTTTCGTTCATGCAGACCAATAAAATTTGAAATCTTTATTTAGTAATTAAATGTAGTACGAAGGCTAACTGCCCTTCAGCTCCTATACAGTAAAAAAACTGCCTCAAAACAAGATTCTAAATTACGTATTTAATTTATATCACATTTAGAATACCCCAAGATTTTAAATGCTTGCAACCCATCACCCACTAAGCTGTTTTAAAAATCTATGAAAAAAATATATAGAAAAAGCATGATACCTCAATAGAAGATACTTGAGAGAATTTGCTTTGAACACTGTTGAACTAAAACCCAGAAGTGTTGTTTAATTGCATCCTTTAAAGACTATTACGATTCTATTCATTCCAATAATATATGTTTTTTTTTAATTTTACAACTGCCTAATATTAATACTTTTAAGATCTTCAAAATACACTAATGTTTCATGAAAATATGAATCGCAATGTCCTTGAATACACTCGTTAAATTGCCACCAAAGTTTTACACTCTATAAATTGAAATATTATTTTTTAACCCCGAGTCTAACATTCTTTTCAAGAATAAGCTATACCTCTTTGTGAAGATGAGAGTCTTAATGTTCTTAAAGCTTCTCTCAATTCCAGCCAAAATTTTGGTATTCTCCATTAGAATGTATCCTGATGCACACTACGTCCTTCATAATTTGAAGTCTGAAGCAACTAATTATTGTTAAATTTCTTTATGCATATATTTATTTGCTAAATATAGTATTTTCTCAACGCAGAACTTCCTGATTGTACAAAGACCACATCAGAAAAATGTGAGACTGGAACACAATCAACAAAAGCTGCTGATCTGAAAATTGTAGGCAGAAGACAAGCCGCAACAGATGAGTTAATGCTCGAGCGATTCCGCATACAGGAAGGAAATCATGCCATGCACAGATGGTATCGGCGATGGTTTCTATTTGGTTTACGGTAACAATTTCACTTAGTGTTTGTAATATTAGTTTTCTTCTTTATTTACTTTTTTTATTTTATTTTTGGATTGAATTGGATAGCTCACTATTTTATTAAGTTTTATTTAAGAAAGTTGAAGGAGTTTATGTAGATGGCATAAATGAGTTTCTATCTCGAGTTCGCCTTTTGGTGTAGTTATATAGCTTGATTCTTGTATTCAGAGGATGAAAAAAAAAACTTTAGAGGCATTTACATACATAGCACACAATTCTCATGTATTTACATATCTCTCACGCAAAATGTCATTTTTACACTCATACCACTCAAGTCTTTAATATAACATAAAAAATTATACTATTACGAAAGTTTAGGCGTAAGATATCTAAATACATTAGAATCGTGTGCTACATATGTAAGTAAATTTCCCAAAACTAATGTGAAAGATGTGGATAACTCGATCAAACGTCGATAGTGACATCTTAGAAAGGAGGGAGATAGGCATTTCCCTATCCATTCATTTTCAAACACTAAGTTTTAACTCGATCAAAACTTATGTGTAAGATTTCTTTTCTTTTGTATACCCTATCCATTTCCCTAGCATTCATTTTATTCCTTCCAGTGAGCTTTTAAAAGTGAAATGTTCTTATCTCCACTCAAAATACATCAACCAAGAATCTGGCATCATCTGCAAAATAATATTAAGCCCCACCATGAACCCTAAAGAATATATTCTGTATCTTATAGAACCCTAAAGAATAAATTCTCTATCTTATAAACATCTTCTTACTCGCCAATTGTATGATGAAATACCCCCATGGAAACCTTCAACTCCATTATCAAAGCTTCTTCACACAATCATTTCTTTATTTCATTTTTAGTACTCTCTGCTGCTGTCCTCCCCTTTCTGTATCCCTTTCTTCTGAAACTCCTCGTCTTTTTTTCTCCTCTTTTGTTCTCTGCAGCAGTATGTTATCTGTTTATTCATTCGAAAGAAAAACAGTATAGGGAGATATTATTCATGGAAGGAGAGAAAGGAAGGGGAGGAGTTGCTCAAGTTTGTGAAGAAGCTAACTTGAGCTTGTATGATGGTCATATTGGAGCAGGTTTTATGTTCTGGAGAGGTGGGGGGAAACTGAAGTGTGGGTTAGAAGAGGAGGAAGAAGGAGAAGAAGAAGATGATCTGATATTTGGAGGGAAGATTGATGTGGGGAGAAGTACATGTGAATTTGTAGAGAGTGTTGATTCTTATGTGGTGGATTGCTTGGCTGAAGGACTCTGGAATTCTTACTTTGGAAGGTTTTCTAAATGGAACCATTTTGAGAGTGTTTTGGAGGAAGGTGATTGGTGTGAAGTGTAAGTTAGTGTTGTTTGATATTATATATATTTTCTATATATCGTTTTGTAAAGGCTACATGGGCTGGTAAAAAAAAAATATTCTAGAATATTTCAATATTAGGTTTGTATCAGCATGAATTTGAATAAAATCACATATTTAAATTGAACTCCCCCTTTCATAAAATCAAGAATGAGATATTGTTAAGAATTTCATGTTCTCTTAAACATCGTGCAGGCTAGCCTGCTTCTCTTTCTGTTTTGGTTACCCTATCTCTCTTTTTTGTTTTTAAGATTTTTTTGTACTTACTCAAAGTGATGGTGATATACATGGGGATGCTATTACTAAAATCAAGTTGGATGGTTGAAATGGAGGAGTGCATTGGGCCTATTGTGTGATTGAAAAAGTACTGTGTAAGACTTAAAAGGAAAATTTTATAAAATGGTGGTGAGATCTGCATACTTGATGGTGAAATGTTGGCCTAATAATAGAGAAGCATAGAATCAAGTGTAGTGTTGTTGAGATGAGAATGCTCAGGTGGTTGAGTGGTTCTACGCTAAGAGAAAACGTGAAATGAATATATCCGCGAATGGGTTGGAGTAGCTCCAGTGGCTGACAAAATTAGATAGAGTCATCTTAGATGATTTGATCACATTAAACGTCTACCATCTAATAACCTTATTAGGAGAGTAAATGTTTTAGATTTGACAAATGCTATGAAAGATGGATGTAGTGTTAAAAAGCTTATACAGTTGTACATGTATAAAAAATGATCTTAACTTATTATAATCAAATGTAAATATGACGCGCTTAATGGGATATAGGCTTGTTGTTGTTGTTGTTGTTGTTTCGCTCTAAATTCTGTGTTTATTGTGCTTGATATTCCCTTGTTTTTTGCCTCGTGCAGAACAACCTTTGCTCGGCTCATTCCCAACTTCTCTCTTTCTTCAATGATGAACAGTTTTTGAACTCGGTGGAGAGGTAGTAAAATTTCACCATCCTTGCTTGGGTCATTCTTTTTTGGGGTATACCCTCTAAATTTTGAGCCACTTTGGTTCTAAACCCTTAAACAACTAAACAAGCTACACAATAAAAATTCTATAAATATATAATAATATACAATTATACATTATAATTCTTCCTTCCTGGTCTAAATATTGCCATTCCTTCGCACTAAAAATTAAGGATGATAAATTTAAATTTGGCTTATGCTCATAAAAGAGCTGGTCATATAATAAAATCTAAATAAATCTATCTTAAAATTTTATGCCATCAAGAACCTTGTGTGTGCCCTCTTGATTTTGGATACCTTGATTGCAATAGACAGGAACCATAATCTCACAAGGACCTTGCACATGAATCAATATATGATGATTATGAATAAAGTTTAATTGTATTCTTCATGACATGTATTCGAGTTTATATATATATATATATATATATATAGAAAAATTTACGTACATACCATTCAAGTCTTATGAATTTACATGCCTAACCCTTATACAATTTTTACATTCATATAACATTAACCTTTTTCACTTTTATTAAGAAATTAAAAAATGCATACAACTCAATTTTTGTATATTTACATTGCTAATATCTAAACTTCAATTTTTGGGTATATGTGGCTTTAACTATACATGAAAGGAAGTATTTCATTTTTCTTTAAGTTAAAATAGTGGCGTTTTAAACTTTTATATATAAAAAAATGTATTTTATTTTAATAAAATGATAATAATGCTTACGTGTGATATTAAAGATCTAAGTGCTATTTGTGTAAATGTGAAAGGTTAGATTTTGGACATCTAAATACATAAGAATGGTGTGCTATTTATGCAAATGCCTTCGTGCAGATGCCTAGTATCTTTGTACGCTGGCTTATCATTTTGATAATTATTTTAAACTTTTTTTTTACAAATAAATTAATAAATATTATTACATTCTATAGCATATTTAATATTTGATTTCATTCTAAAAAAGTTGCAATGAGTATGATGGGATCAATATTAAAAACTAGTTTTTTTCATCATTTATATTATAAGATAATTTCTAATTAATTATTTTTATTTAAATAATATATAATATGAGAATAAAATATTTGATAAGTTGCTTGTTGAACAACAAATGAGTCTGTTCGTGAACAACGTTAACAAGCGGGTTTGATATTTGAACGTGTTTATTTACTAATTCAAAATTAGCTGCTATAATTTCTCTATATAAGTAGTAAAATTGAAAGTATTTTCCCTATATAGATCTGTTTGGGGCAACTGCGACTTATTGAATAATCTGTTGATAAGCTGATAAAAAATACTCAGTTGATAAACTAGGGGCGGTGGCCATTACAAATCTTAATTTTTTTGGACAAACCAGACCGCTGTCAGAAAACTGCCACCGCACTTTCAGCGTTTTGAAAACTCAGAAGCTACTAAAACGTAGTTTACCCAAACAGTTCAGGTGCGTTTTCAAAACGTCACCGCACCAAATAAATTGTCTCAAACGGACTCTAGTTATTTTGTTCCCTCTGGGTATATTTGTTTGCCCATCAATTAAAAAAAATAAATATTTTATGATCTTGTCCAACTTCATAAACAAATTAAAGAAGGTATATTACTCTATTTATGAGTACAAAATAGTAATATTTATAAATGTAAAAAAACAAATTTTAAGCATTAAATGCATAAGAATTACGTGGCATGTATGTAAATGTCCCAAATAATAAATAAATAAAAGGAACTTAGAAGTGCCTGCCCGTGCACTATTTATTTTTTTAGCTTTTAAGATGATAAGAGGAATGAGGCAAAGCTTATTTAATTTAAAAGTGATTCCTTCTGTGCTCACCGCCGGTTATTAAACTAATATCCACCCCACTCCTATACCGAAATGAAAAGTAATATTATAAACTCTTGAAATTAACTTCGATATGATAATCTTTCATCCATCATTTCATATTTCTAATATTAATCGATGGTCATTAACAATTTTTTTTATGATAAGGCACGAATCACAAGACAAACCGAACGACTCTAAAATTGGTTCAGTTCGGGTCCAATCAGGCCCAGATCAAGCTCTAGAAGCATAATTGGTTGCTTTTGATCATCAATTTAGTGATCAAATGAACTCTAAATTTGACTTATTTTTAATCGAATCTAATGTTTGATGAGAGGAATCTAAAAGCTTGAGATTGTTAATTCTGAGATTATTAAGATAATAAAATCCTTACAAGTAATCAATATGGATTGTCGAATCAGGTGATTTTATGAAGTTATGCGTCAAAAGATTATAACACCCCTCCTCAAAAAACTATAAATAGACTCTTTTTTTTCATATGGGGATGAGGAGAAATGAAGTGAAATTCATGAGCATGTTATGGATATAAGATATGACGAGAAAACACTTCTCTTAATAGTAGGGGGCAATGGTCGACCATCAACAGCTATAGTCACAGATCATTGTCAACCACTACCCGTCATCACTAGCTGCCACCACCGACCATCGGCTGTCGTCGACCGTTGCTTGTAATTATTGTAGCTAGACTATGCTTGTTGTTCAATTTCCTAAAACTTACAATTTCTTAGCTATATAAAAACAAGTATAATTTTTATTGCAAGATTGCAACCTCGTTCTTTCTGTTGTTGCAAGAGAAATATGTGTCTCTGTACTTACAAACATATAGTGAGTTACTTTGACTGGGCTAGCACTTTTTGTTATATTTTATTTTCTTTATGTGTTGAATTTAGTTCAACTTTAAGTTGATAAATTATTACTCTTGTCACCTTGAATTTTCCGACACATAATAATTATAAAATTCTAAATTCTA